CCGTGTTGGCGGGGAAATTATTCGCCGCTTCTATTTCCACTCTGAGGTCCACGTTGGAAATCTTCGCGTCGTCCGTCTGCCGCGAACAGTCTATACAGATAAACGGACCCAACTCCTTATATTTTTCTCTCGTCAGGCACGGTTGAGCCGTAAACCGCTCGTAATAATGTTTTTGGAAATCGGCATAATTTTGAWARAACATCGTAAACAGGTTTTTGTCGAAACTTTCGTTGAAATCCTCGTACGGATATTCGACCGAATTAATATACGCTTTAACGTTTGTCAGCGAACACGCGTCGTAATCGCCGCTATAACCGTCCGATACGCTTCCGGGCGTATTCGTTAGAAAAGCGATTATTAAACACCTAGGTTTTTCCACTTGCGAACACGTTTTAACCATCCAAGAGTGCCTGTTAGTTTGCGGCAAATTCGGATACTCGCAAAGCTCCCAATTTCTAAAAGCRCAGTTWATCATTTTTTTGCTATCGATGATTTTCATCAGCTTCAATCTCTCTCGATCGTCGACTTTGACAACCGGCACTTTCCACAGCACTCGAGTAAGTTGAACTTTGACTTTTTTCACCAAAACCTGGACCGACTCGGTTGCCAAGTCTCCGCCCGGCACGCTAGTGAAATGTAGCGAACTCAAATCCGACATCGATCTATTCAGTATGAGCTGTTGACTGCAATTCACCAGTATCCGCTTGTAGTCCTCGCAAAAACCGAAAACGTGCTTCAACGGTATACAGCCACTGAACGTGTTGTCTTTGACGAAATTAGCATTTCTACCAGTGATATCCCAAGCAGCGTTTTGCATTATATTCGCGTCGGCAGGCGAATACGAGCAATAACCTTTCATGGCACTAGTTATGCCCGGCTTCTTGACACGCTGCACTTCGGTGGAATTTATTTCGTATTTCATCTCGTTAAACAAATTCGTCAATCCATTATGTGCCATAGTTACCTCGGCCTTTAGTTCATCGGGCTTCGTTATTTTACCCTCGATGTAGATAAAACTATCGCTCGGAAACGTGTGCGCATCTCGATTCTGAATAGATATGCGGATTTCATCGCCATTGTTTAGTGCGGACGAGGAAAATGGTAAAAAAGAATGTAAAAACATTTCGCGAATAGGAGATTCGTTAACATACGCTCCGCCCACRTCCAAGAAGGATTTGTCCATAGTGCATGCGCGTATAATATAAAATATATATTAATTACTTAGCGCCGATTATGCGTAAGAATTTGCGATTAGCCGATGACAGTTTTTTATTTTTAATATTATTAACTTTTCTGTGAACGACGCCCGTGTACTGCAGTGGTGTGCGTCTGACGGCCGCTGTAGCTTTAATGCGGTCGTCGGCATTATCGATCGCGTATTTATCCGCGTTAAACTTCAAACCCATTTTTTATCAGKAGTCTTACGTTCACAGTCTCACCGCGAAAATCGATCGCTTTACCGTTTTGATCGGTCAACGATACTCGCACGTAATCAATCGTATTTGTTTTCAGTTTATACAGCACGCAATACTTAGGTATTTCGACTATTTTATAACCCGGYGGGACGACTGGATAAAATTCGTGTATGGTGTGCGATTGTCGACCGTTGTCGAATGAACCTAACGCTAGGTTACATTCGACTTTTATCGTGTTTACATTCATAATTTTCACTACACGATCGGATTCGTGTCTGCGATCGCGCGCTAAAGTTCGCTTATCGAAGCCCAATAACGGAGCGATGCTATCCTCGACGTTTAAGTCGATTTCGCTACTACAATGCACTGTGCATTTCAACGT